GCTCCAAGCCATCGAGCGGAGGCGGAAGGAGGCTGAAGAGCAAGCGAAAAAGAAGAAGGAAGCCGAAGAAAAGGCCGCGGCTGAACGTGAAGCGGCCAACGCCCCCGAAGAGCAAGCCTCGGCCTCGACTGAGCAAACCTCCGCCCAGCAGCAGGCGACCCAACAGCCTTCTGAGTCTACTCCAGCAGCTGCTTCTGGTCAACAGCCAGTGCAGCAAGACCAAGAGAACAAGGAGCTAGAAGCACCCAAGGAAAAGGCTGATGAGATGGATGTTCAGTCCGATGAGAAGAAGATCCGTCAGCTCACGCCGCCGACAATCCCTGAGCACAATCTCAAGCTTGTGATCAATATCTTCGTGGCGCGTGAATGCAGCTCCAAGACATTCCAGAACACCATCTCCACGATCAAGAATCTTTCCAACATCCCTGGCGCGAAGAAGGTATTTGGAGATGAGCTGGTCCGCCAAGCTAGGGTCTTGAGCGAGAACATTCTCTCAGATCTTGACAACTTGCTTCCTCACATCCTGAAGGCTGAGTCCGGCACCCAAATCCAGGGCGTTGCTCTTGCCAAGTTTTCGCCAGGCGCCTCGGAGCAGAACAAGCTCCTACGTGTTCTGACAGCGCTCGATCACTTGTTTGATAGCAAGAGCAAGAAGCAGGACAAGCCTGCCGAAGGGGAGAACACTAAAGAGGACCTCCTAGGTTCTCTCTACTGGAACCCGACATTCGGCAAAATGTGGGATAAGCTAAGCGCTTGCTTGAGCGCAATAAGGCAGCGCGACAACATGCTCAACGTGGCCACAATTCTCTTGCCGCTCATCGAGTCGTTGATGGTGGTTTGCAAGAATACGACACTCTCAGATGCTTCGGCGGTGTCGAACGCAAACTCGCAGAAGGAGATGCTTCTCACCAGCCCGCCTCCAGAGGACCGCATTGCCGGCCTGTTCTTTACCTTCACCGAGGAGCACCGCCGTATCCTCAACGAGTTGGTACGACACAATCCCAAGCTCATGTCGGGCACCTTCTCGCTGCTGGTCAAGAATCCGAAGGTCCTGGAATTCGACAACAAGCGCAACTACTTCAACCGTAGCGTGCATTCCAAGTATCAACAGACAAGGCACTCTTTCCCTCCATTGCAGCTCCAAGTGCGCCGTGAGCACGTCTTCCATGATTCGTTCCGGTCTTTGTACTATAAGAAGGCCGATGAGTTGAAGTTTGGAAAGCTCAATATCCGTTTCCAGGGAGAGGAAGGCGTCGATGCTGGTGGTGTCACGCGCGAATGGTTCCAGGTGCTCTCCAGGCAAATGTTCGACCCCAACTACGTCCTTTTCGTTCCGGTGTCTTCGGACCGCACAACCTTCCACCCCAACAAGTTGAGTCCGATCAACGACGAGCATCTTCCTTTCTTCAAGTTCATTGGCAGAATCATTGGCAAGGCCCTGTACGAGGGTCGTCTGCTTGAATGCTACTTCAGCCGTGCGGTTTACAAGCGCATCCTTGGCAAGCCCGTCTCGGTCAAGGACATGGAGTCGTTTGATCCAGACTACTACAAGTCACTTGTCTGGATGCTCGAGAACGATATCACCGACATCATCACCGAGACCTTCTCGGTCGAGGACGACGTGTTTGGCGAAGTCAAGGTTGTCGATCTGATTGAGAACGGCCGCAACATCCCTGTCACGGAGGAGAACAAGCATGAGTATGTCCGTCTGATCGTCGAGCACAAGCTCATCACCTCGGTCAAGGATCAAATGAAGGCATTCCTTACTGGTACGTACAACTCCTTTGAAATGACAGATTGTAGTTCCATGATTAACAAATGAACAACAGGCTTCCACGAGATCATCCCTGAAGAGCTCATCGCCATCTTCAACGAACAAGAGCTCGAACTTCTCATTTCCGGTCTGCCTGATATCGACATCGACGACTGGAAGGCGAACACCGAGTACCACAACTACTCTGCCGGCGCCCCTCAGATCCAGTGGTTCTGGCGCGCTGTCCGGTCCTTCGACAAGGAGGAACTCGCCAAGCTTCTTCAATTCGTCACGGGCACATCCAAGGTGCCTCTGAACGGCTTCAAGGAATTGGAGGGCATGAATGGCGTCAGCCGATTCAACATTCATCGTGACTATGGCAGCAAGGATCGTCTTCCTAGCTCTCATACATGCTTCAACCGTAAGTTTTCCTTTTCCGCTCCACTAAGCATGGTATCATTGGCTAACAGATAATTGCAGAACTTGATCTTCCCGAATACGAAAACTACGAGACTCTAAGGAGCCAGCTGCTCAAGGCTATTACCGCGGGTAGCGATTACTTTGGCTTTGCGTAAAGGGATGGATGGATGGATAGTGGAGATTGAGTAGGAAAGTATACAGAGGAGGAGAGGTAAAAGGTACATAAGCCAAAACATAAGCATCACATAGGTGGAATGTCAGCATAGGGGCATAAATTGCCTGGATGGAGGAAGGAGGGGAGGTCTATTGTTTGACCCGTCATTTCTTCATCAAGGTTATAAAAGGGAAAGGTTCAAGTGCAATTGGGAGGAATGGGGAGGGGGAGTTGAAGGAACTTAGATTGGGGAGGAGAAGATTTTGTTTTGTTATTGCTACTTCTTTTGCTCTTGAGCATCCAGTCAGGCATAGGTTTTCACAAAAGGAATAGAAGGGCGGCGGGAAGTGCAGGTCTCGTCTTCCCTTTTTTTTCCCGGTCCTGGAGTCGCCGATGCTGGGTGGTTGGCTTGGAGCTAGCTTTTTTGCATGGATGAAGGCGGAAGGAAAATAATAGCAATAGGGGAGATAGAATGATTAGCGCGAATGGAGGTTATGATATGATACGATATGAATATGAATATGAATATGTGCTGGTGCCTGTGTGAACTGTGTGTGATATAGGAATTTGGAAACTCCTGGTACGATGTCGTATGATCGTTGCTCTTCCTTTTGTGCTACAAGAGATTTGGTGATGCAGTGTTGTGGACTTAGTGGCGGTTGACGAGCTACGATGACAACTTGAAGTGATGGATGTTCTCTGACTTTGTTTTTATGATTCGCATCGCTTCCATTGCTTGTCCATATGTTCTGTAAGCTTTGCTTGGCAAAAATCCGCTCATAATCTCATACATAAGAAGAAACGGTACGTTATGAAACTCTAAGTACTGCGTATAATGAATGTTTCTGATCCATTAATTTACTTGAAGTCAACAGCTTAGCGGATGTGGTCTGACCTCAATACTTCACCACCATCCAACGAGGGAGAAACATTTTCTGACCATTTTCGCGATCGATAGAAAGCAGTACATACATCTAAATATCCTGGAACTCACCACTCATCACTTGGCGTCATGATGGTCATGTTGTCCTTTTATTTTTCTTTATTTTTTTATGAGCCCAAAAAAAATCACAGACTAGCTTGACTACTATTATCCCTAAACCAGAGGGCACCGCACTAGCAAAAAAAAACATATGTATTCTTATTTAAGATGAAAGAAATAGATTAAAAAAAAAAAAAAAAAAAAAAAAAACACACAGGAAGCAGAAGAAGAAGTAGAAGAAGAAGAAGTTGAAGAAGAAAAACAGAAGGAGAGAGAGGCCAGAGATAACAACAACTAAACAAATTCCTTCTCATAGCTGACTATATGAGTGATAGTTACCTACCTACCAGGTACTATGTTGACTAACTAACTAACTAACTAACTACGTAGCTACCTAACAGATATAGAGAGAGGGAGGTGGAGGATATGATGGACGACGCTTGCTTGCATAGGTGGTCTTGCATGGTCTTCCGTTGATCAATGAAAAGAATGAGAGAAATCTATCAACGAGGACAGTTTACACAAGCAACAACATGAAGAAAGTACTTACCTACCTTAGTCTACCGTAGGTTGCCAAAGTGAGTGAGTGAGTGAGTAAGTGAGTGATCGGTACTTGGGTACCTAGGTGTACCTAGGTAAATACTCTTCTCCTTCTTTTTCTTCTATGGAAAACCTACTGACCTCTTTTTTTCCTTTTTTTTTTCTTTTTTTTCGAGCGAACTAGGTAGACTAACTGGAATTGGAACTGGAACTGGAACTGGGTGATTCGGAGGGGAAAAAAAGTTAATAAACTGAAGGGTGAGTCAGTTTGCAAGTTGGGGATTACACCAGTTACCATGGGAAAATACGAGGTGTTTGTCAAGTAGATTATATCGACAATACGAACCTAACTAACCAGGTAGGTAACTCTGTTTCTATGTATGCTTTTATGTACCATGCAGTGGACTTTCAATCAATGGAACTCAGATTCAATCATGCATTGGAATTGGTATTGTTGCGTGTGGGTTGACGAGAGCGACGAAGCATTGTATTTGATATTGAGTATTGCCAGTAGATCAATCGTGTTTTCAGTCTTCTATAGACCGAGGCCATTCTTGGAGTTCGCCACTGGACGTTAAGAATTTCTGGGCCGTCACATCTTTTGTAGGCAGATACCAGGAACTGTACGCTAGTGGACTTGAAGAATAGCAATGAGGTTTTGACAAAGAATTGCATGTGATACAATGGCATTTGCTTGCTCTTTTAGATATGAATGTCATGACAACTTTTAAAAGCCTGCTCCTTCCCGCACATTGCTTCCAAATCCTTACACGGACATGAATTCACAAAGAGAAGCGCGCCAAAGGAACCCCATATGAAGCGAACAATTCAGACCCATTGTTGATTGTGAATCTACCTCAGTTGCCTCCTTCCCCAAATATGTCAATGATCAGGCGGGAGTATTGGTATCAAAAGGGTCCCCGTCATCTTATTCCGTATAACGCGAACCCGAAGCGAAGCGCTGCTCGTTGGTTTTGGTATCAACTCATTGAAGACTCAATTCCTGGTTGGTTGTCGTGGAAAGCCCTTTTTTAATGGGTGCTCATGTACACACAACAAACATGCCCCCCGGTCGAGTCAACAGATAACCGCGCCATGACCGAATTCGTGAAAGCAACCGGATATCATCCATCACACCTGACTCCGAACGCTTACTTGCGCATGGAGGAGGCGCGGCGCTTGCGGGCATCGGCCTTCTGGACCTTGGCCTCAGCGATGCGCTTGGCGAGGATCTGGGCGTACTCAGACTGTTATGATGGTTAGCATTTCTGAAGTGCTTTTCAACGAGGGGGTTGGGTGAAACTTACAGCCTCCTCCTTGACCTTCTCGGCCTGGCGGCGCTTGAGAGCGAGACGGTGTCTCTTGTGCTGGAGGCGCTGGGGAGTGACGAGGCGCTGGATCTTGGGAGCCTTGGTGTAGGGCTTCTTGCCCTCACCCTTGGGCTGGACCTCGCGGCGAATGACGTACTTGCGGACCTATTCGTCGTAGAAAGATTGGATAATTAGCCTTTGGTGTTCATCTCAGACTCTACCCGACGAACTGCGCGAGGATCATCGCAACAGCTCGGGGGCAGGCGATGACGAGATTGCGTAGAAAAACACATACATCGTCATCCTTGCTGAGGCCGAAGAAGCGGCGGATCTTGGTGGCGCGCTTGGGGCCGAGACGCTTGGGGTGGACGACATCGGTGAGGCCGGGGATGTCCTGCTCGCCCTGCTTGACGATGGCGAGAGCAAGGACGGAGAGATCAGAGCCGACGATGCAACCGCGGACGGACTTTCTCTTGCGCTCACCGCTGCGGCGGGCACGGTAGCAGGAGTGGCCGTCGGAAAGGAGAAGGCGGACACGGTTGGGGGCAATGACACCCTGCTTCATGGGGAAACCCTGCTTGTCGTTACCGCCGGTGATGCGGAGGATGTAGCCCTTCCACTCATCACCAAGGGGGTCGGCGGGGACCTCAGCGCCCATCTATAGTCGATGTGTCAGTTTCGGGTTCGGTCATCGTGGTTGGTCTCGATGTGTCGTCGATGTACCGGGAAAACTTACGCGCTTCCTATAGTGAGGCTGTTAGCGACATGTCTTTGGATACCAAATGCAGCTTGTATGTGATTTGCAACTCACTCGATGAAGTGACGGAGCTTGCGCTCATCCTCGACCTCGATCAGCTTCTGCGAGCCGTTCGCAGGGTACGAAATGTTCAGCTGTTGGTGGGCGTGGGGTCAGCCTCATGTCCATGTCTCCATTCCCATCAACATCGTCGCTGTGGTGATGTTCTGGCTCCTCTTTTCCCTCCTCCAAGTTCCCATTTTCGCGACCTCCAGGTGTCGAAATTTGAGATTGGACGCTCGGACTCGTGAAAAAGCACAGAGACGCAGTCACGCCGTAGCCATGACGCCGTGGATATCGGGGAGTCGTCGTACCTTCATTTTGGCGGTATTTGGGGCTGAACGACCGGAGTTGGGTGTTGCGAATTGAGACGACTCGAGAAATTCCGAAGGGGAAGATTTTGTGTGGGTGGTGACCGCTTTTGCTCAGGACAATACGGTCGAAATCTTAGGGCACAATTTCCGGGGTATTGATTGGCTGCTGTCTCAGCCTGACCCGCTTAAAAATCTCCCGCTGCGCTTGGACCAACTGCCAGCCGCGAAACTTTCCACTGGCACAAGTTGACCCATGAGCCCAGGCCCAACAACCACCACCAAGCATTTGGAGAAGTGGGGCTGGATACGCTTTACCGGATTTGGGTTTTGTACCTTTGATATTCCCAAGTCTCAACGACAACGTTCACGACGACGTGCTATGGGATAAGTGGGATTGGGCCAAGCTTGACCGAATGATAGACATGGAATACGCTATGTTCAACGAATTTACAACTAAATAGCTCTTCAGACACAACATCTCGTGGTCTTTTTCTGTTGAACGTTTGTCCTTCAAGACACTGACAAACCCCAGAAGGTACTTGGCAATTTTCACTTTGGCAAATCCAACCTCACCTCACTCACTTGAGAGATATCAACCTCAGAAAGCGTGACGAGACACTCAACTTTTTCGCAACACCCTTGAGCCTTACAGACCCGAGTTTGAATATCATCATTGGGCTCGACTCAGTAATATTACACAAGCTTAACATGGAGGACGACCGCGCCCAAGTCGACCTCGGCATTGCCGCCGACATCGACGAGATGAACCCTCCCCCTCCCCCCTCCGTTCAGCAAAAACAACCCAAGAAGCGTTTCCTGGGCCGACAAAGCGCCGCCGCCGGAAAGTCCTCCTCCTCATCCAACAGCACCTCTCAACCCGCCGGGGCCAACACTTCTATCGAAGACAGCGGCGCCATCCAAGTAGCCCAACCGCGCCGTGCGCCCCGGATGCTCAACCCAGTGCCCGACTCGATCCTGCACGACGCCGCCCTAAACGAAGCCATCGCCCTTCTTCCCTCCAACTACTCCTTCGAGATCCACAAGACCATCCACCGCATCCGCACTTTGAACGCCAAGCGCGTAGCCCTGCAAATGCCCGAGGGTCTGCTCCTCTTCGCCACCACCATTTCCGACATCTTGACCCAATTCTGCCCCGGGATCGAGACGTTGATCATGGGCGACGTCACCTACGGCGCCTGCTGCATCGACGACTACACCGCTCGCGCCATGGGGTGCGACCTGCTAGTGCACTACGCGCATTCGTGCCTTATCCCCGTGGACGTCACCAAAATCAAGACCTTGTACGTCTTTGTGGACATCAGCATCGACACCTCCCACCTCTTGGCGACCTTGGAACGCAATTTCGCGCCCGGCAAGTCCATCGCCATGGTGGGCACCATCCAATTCAACGCCACCATCCACGGCGTGCGCTCGACCCTGCAAAAAGCCGGATACGAAGTCATCATCCCGCAAATCGCGCCGCTTTCCAAGGGCGAGATCCTGGGGTGCACATCCCCTAACTTGTCCCAGTTCCTCACCTCGTCCGGCAAGCAAGTCGACATGATTTTGTACTTGGGCGACGGCCGCTTCCACCTCGAGTCCATCATGATTCACAACCCATCCATCCCCGCCTACCGGTACGACCCCTACAGCCGCAAACTGACGCACGAAACGTACGGCCACGAAGAGATGCAGGATGTTCGCCGCTCTGCCATCCGCCAGGCCAAGACGGCCAAGAAATGGGGGTTGATCCTGGGAAGTCTCGGGCGGCAGGGAAATCCCAATACGCTGGGTCTCATAGAAGAGAAGTTGAAGGCCAACGGCACGCCGTTTGTCAATTTCTGTCTTTCAGAGATTTTCCCCGGAAAGCTGGCGATGATGAGCGATGTCGAGTGCTGGGTGCAGGTGGCGTGTCCGAGACTGTCGATTGATTGGGGGTATGCGTTCCCTAGACCGCTGTTGACGCCGTATGAGGCGTTGATTGCGCTGGAGGAGAAGGAGGATTGGGGGAAGGGGGCATATCCGATGGATTATTATGGCCGAGAGGGGTTGGGGAGGACGAAGCCTGCTGCTGTGGAGGTTTGAGGGTTCAGGCTTGGAGTGGGTGGATGTATCCGTACTTTGAATGAATTTTGGGATCTAGGCGTATGGCTATACAAAAAGGAGGTTTATCTGTTTTTTTCTGCATACGAAGAATGTTACTTGCAAAATATGGTAAGTGAAATGTGAACAAGTTTTGGTTGTGGTTTGGTAGTATGTATCCAATTGTTTCGCGTATACGTACACAAGGTAGGTTATGTCAACCTTTTTGTTTTAACACAGAGTACAAAAAAGCCAGTCCTTCATTGCTTAGCTTGGCTGCGTGCATATCCATCCGTCTATCCAGTCCGTCCGATGTCCTTATCCTTCCTTGTCCATTCCCTCTCTTTTTTTTTTCCGTCAATGCAATTCTACCTTTGAACAGATGCAACCCTTCTCAGGGGTAAATACGACGAGAGACCTGATCGCCAACCAAAGCCCAGTTTCCTCCTATTCATATCGCCTGCTGCTAGGTTATCATTAGCCGTGAAGGCGGAGCCCGTCTCCCTCTGCTGTTCTGTGTCCTGTTCTTGCGCTTGCACCACCCTCGGCCTGGCAGCAACAGCAGCGACCGGCTTATTCTGATAACTCCTCAGGTGATCCTTGGTCAAAGCCATCAGATGCGGCACCGTGGCCGTCTCCTTCGCACCCTGACGAATCTCAGCCGCCGTCTGCGCCGGCAACGCTTCCATAAGAATATTTGCTAGCTGGTTATCCAGTTCCTCCTTCCGAGCAAAGCACGCTGCGACTGCGTTAAGCCCCGTGTTGGGCGTGCGCATCTCCCGATCGTACTTGAGACGCTTTTCCAGGGGCACCTCGACGTCCCAGTGCTGTCGCCACAAAGTCAGGGGTCGTACGTCGCGCGGAACGGAGACGGCGAGGATGTTCATGATCTCCTCGGTCGTGGCCTTGATGGCCTTCTCGGTGGCCTCTACTTGCTCAATGAGCCAATCTAGCTTGGCTAGGCGTTGGAGTGCCCTGGCACGCTCCTCGCGCTCGACTGCGCGCGGGTTGGTAGGGCTGATAAGGTTCAGGCTGGTAATGGCACTGTCTAACCGGTGTTCAAGATGCTCGTCGGGCTGTGCTAATAGGAGGTGTTCGACCTTTGGGAGAGTCAACCTGAGCTGGAAGATGGTTTGCACCGCTTCTCTGAACCAGATGGATGTCGCAATACGGTTGAGGCGGTCATTGCCCTTGGGTAAGAGGTAGGTCGGTGACGTGGAATCTTGCAGGGCAGAGCTATGATAGAGTGACTCTGTCGACCTCGCGTACCGGATCTGGAGAACGGTGCGAAGCTTCCTTACCGTCTTTAGCGACAGGAAACTTCGCGAGAGGATCATGGTCGTGATGGCGCCAACGTGAGACAGCAGTCCGTCGACGAGCACACGAGTTGCCAGATCGTCAACAGTGTTGCAGATAGCATGTAACAGTTGATCAAAGAGTTCGGCATTGATGGTCCACCTCTGGTCGAGACAGGCAACAAACACCTTTGCGGCATGTCCGATTCTCCTGAAGTCAATGAGGGCCTCGATAATTGCTTCCATAACGGGCTGCTCCAGATTAGCACGCTCAACGACTGTGCGACCGTTGGCTAGGGCGACATCCGACTCGAGCGCCCAGCGCAAGAGTCCGCGGTCTTGGTACACATCCGAGATGGACTTGCTGCGCATATTCAGGCCTCGAGGATCGCGACCAATGAGGCGTCGGAGCAGCATGTGGAAACCCTCGGCATCTCTCTTGCAGCGGTAGTGGTGTATCAGACAGAGGATTGTGCCTTGAGTGGGTCGTAGACGGCTCTTGTGTAGGAAATTGTCCACCACGGCGCCAGCCAAAACATGCTCGCCGATCTGAGTGAAGCCTGCTATGAGCATGTTGTAGTTGTGGATACCAGGCGGCACGGTGTTGATGAGAAGGTTATGGCAGACCTTGGCCACATACTTGTCCCGGCTTCGAGGTCCCTTCCAGTCGGCCAAGATGTTGCACGTAACTTGGTTGAAGCGCCGGCGCGCCTGGATTGTCATGGTTGGATCATAATGGGCGTGGTGGAACCTGGGATAGCCGTCCTTCTTCAACATGCGCGTTATGCTCCAGGCCGACTCGGGGTGGTCCTTGGGGAGATAGGACTTGATGCCCTGCATCTCTGAAGCCTTGTAGGCGGCTTCCATAAGGTCGTCCACAAGGTTGGTGACCATGTCGATTTGCTTCTCCATCTGCTTTTCGTTTCGAGGTTCCCGGTCCTGGTCCAAGGTTTCTGCCATGCTCTCTTCGTACGCGATAGTTTTGTCGCAGCTGATGAGACCGTCTCTTCCCATACAAAAGTCCTTGCGCGGGTCCCTCCACGACATGCCGAGGGAGTCGCGCAGCTTCAGGACAGCAGCTCTCTTCTCGGCAGCACTGGACGCCAGACTCCTGACTGAATCGACATGGTAATCGCATATAGACTCAAGCACATCGATCGTAGGCTGGCTGCGGGCGCGGAAGGGTTCGGGTCGGCGGGCGGCAGGTGCTGAGCCGACAAGGCGTAGGAGGTCTCCGTCGGCGGCATCGTCGGTCATAAGGACTGCTAGGTTCTTCTTTGCTTCATGGATCTTGCGGTTGAGCTCGCGCTGGCGCCGTTCCTTGTTCTCGGTGTCGACGACGACGGCGGTGACTGCGAGAGCCGTGTAGCAGGCGGTGGCTACATTGCTGCCGAGGGCTTTCCTGGTTCGCTGGGCGGCGGCGGATCGGGCGGTGGACTGGGCGAGGCGCACAGCTTGGAAGCTGTTGAAGCTATTCGGAGCGGGCAGACAGGAGTGGCAGCGACAGCCCCGGAATTGGGCTACGGTCGACCAGATCCCCTGCATCGTCGGGGCATATCTGGTCGATGCGGCAGCGGCATCAGGGCAAGGGGAGGGCGGGATTTGTTCGTCGGTGACTTGTCGGCGGCGGGTGGATTTGAAAGATCAATTAAGAGGCCCGTCAAAGGGTGGGGCGTTTTGAAGGCATGTCCAATTCCCGTCCCCATCGCAAGCTAAAGTCTTTGCGCTGTCGGCCGGGCGTACAGTGTTGATTGCGCGCATTCGCATGGGCAGAGGGGGGAGGTCAACAAAGCTCCCCTTTAGGGTAAGGGATACTAAACCCTTAGGGTTGACATCAGTCTTCAGAAAGCTCCGGAAGCTCAGACCACCTCTGAAGCTGAAGCTGCATGTGTGGGGCTATCAGCTGAAGATCAGAGCTGAGAAGGTGCCCTGCCCCTTGAGCCCCTCCACCACCACAGCAGAAGAGCTGGCTGGCAGCTCCCAATCAGGCAGAGTCTAGAACAACAGGTCACTGAAGAATATCACCTCCTCGAAAACATCAATATAAACCGCAAACAACTCCCATAATAATCGCATATCTCACAACAGCCAAGATGTTTGCGCTTTACCTTACTGCTGAGCTTGCTGGGTGAGTGAACAAGAAGTCAGAAGAAAAACAAGAAAAAGCCAACTTACATCAAACTTCTAGAGTCACCAACCTCCGTCCTGACGACAGCGAGGGTAACCCGTTCTGGTACACCTTCAAGGTTCAGTGCACCTCCTGCAGGGAGGTCCATGACAAGCCCGTTGGCGTGAGCCGCTTCGTAAGTTCCCCTCTAAAGACCCGAAGCATTCCCTTGTTGACACATTCACCAGGAAAACAACGAGATGAGCGGCAGCCGTGGTGAGGCCAACTTTGTGTGGAAGTGCAAAAACTGCAAGAGAGAGTCGTCGGCTTCCATCAAGGCTGCCCCCGCCGCTTATGAGCAGACGGAACCTGCCAAGAAGCAAAAGCTTCTCGAGTTTGACTGCAGAGGTTTGGAGTTTGTCGAGTTCCAGCCTGAGGTTAGTCCATATTTAGTATCTTCTCGGTACAGTATACTTGCTGACATCGGATATGTAGGGCTCTTGGCTTGCCGAAGGCATTGACTCCAACACCAAGTTCACTGACATTGACCTGACCGAGGGAGAATGGTTCGATTACGACGAGAAGGCCAACGACGAAGTTAGCATCAAAGAGCTCAAGTGGGAGATCAACCGGGCTTAAATCTGTAAACTCCCTCTCCAAGCATTTCTTGACATAATCCAGTCTAACCCTAACCCTCGATTCGTAAGCTCCTTTGTAATGAACTGTTGATGCGATGTTGTTGATAAAACGGGAGTGAAGGCGGCAGGTGTCAGGGGAAAAAAGTAAAGTGACATTGAAGGGGGCTGCTTGTGTTTTGATATTCCCCTTGGCTTGAGTCCCTTGATGGGTAGATGTCGGTCTTCACCAAAGGCGAACGTTCAACCAACCGGTTGGCCCGTGCTCCAACCTTGGTTTCACGCCGTAAAAATCCAATTGAACAATTTGACTTGCATCTCTCCCACTTCCATCAACCACCGACATCCGACCTGGTGTCCTACGACACGACGGAAATCACGATGAACGGACCATCCTCAACCCAGCTCTCAGCGACGCTGGACTTTCTAACGGACGCCGCCCATCTTCTGGCGACAACAGCGCCAGAGACGTCGGCGTTTCTCATGAACCAGAGAGGCAACCTTATGTTTGAGAACGAACTGCCCCAGTCCGACGTCCATAGACAGCACGTCTGCAGTTGCTGCGGCCACATCATGATTCTTGGTCACGGCAGCACTTTGAAATCTGAACACCAAAAAGCCGTGCGCAAGAGGCTAAGAGCAGGCCAAAAGTTTACGAAAACGCCTGTCCAGGCGAAGCAACAGGATCAAGAGTCGCGCAAAGGACCAGTTAAGCGCATCACATGCGGCCACTGCACAAGGAAAACTGAGATCAAGTTCCCGGCCCCGGCTCCTGTCTCGAGGCGCAGCATCAACCCGAAGACTCAACCACAACAACAAGCGCCAAAGTCAGCAGCAACAGGGCTAAAACCAAGTGCGGCGTCTACCCTGGGGTCTCTTGCTGGGCTTTCCACACACAAGCCAACCCCTTCGTCCAGTGCAAATAGCAAAAAGCGTGCCAAATCCAGGAAAGCCGGACTTCAGGCCTTGCTCGACCAGTCCAATGCCTCCAAAGGCTCGAGGCCTGGTCTTGGACTGAGTCTCGCCGATTTTATGCAGAAATAAAGTTGCTCTCTGATATAGAGACGCATGGGCCACCAATTGTTACCGTATTGGACAGAGAGTTTCCATCAGCTCCTCCCGTCTTGGATCCTGATGGATATTGCCCTGTGATTGGTGGTTTGGGGCAATTGTGAAGTACATAAAACTACTCTGGTTTGACTGGATTGCCGCAAGGAAAATTCCAGGTCACTCGAGCGGTTGATTTCTTCAAAGATTTCCAAGCAGGTACAGTTTTCTGAAAACTCGGACAGGGCTCTTGAAATCGTCAATTCTGAAAACCATCAGATGATTATTTCCGAAGGCAAAACAACGTTCAAGGCTGGAATGTTCCCGAAGCTTTGGGCAGCGGCTCCATTGCACTGGGTACCCAATCTGGGCCAAGTCTGGGGTCAAGCTTATGTCACTTCGTTGGTTGCTTGCTCCACCCTTCCTTGCCAGAATCCCCCGCCAAACCCGATCGCCAATTGCCCCTCCAAAATTTTCTCCAAGGACCCTATAAAAGTCACCGTCTGCTGATCCATCCCAACGGCCGTTTGCGACAATCCACACAGATATACCACCACAACATACACAATGCCCGAGGAAACTTTCACCCCCATCGGCCAGAAGGTCGAGGATATCGCGCCCGCCGCCGCCGACGCCCAGGCCGAGGATGACGAGCCCCGCGGTGTCGAGGAGATTGAGTCTCTCTGCATGAACTGCCACGAGAATGTAAGTTGGAAGCTGTCGCAAACAGTCGCGCCCTTTGAATACCGGCTAACCATGGTTCTCTAGGGAACAACACGTCTTCTCCTTACCCAGATCCCCTATTTCCGCGAAATCATCATCATGTCCTTCTCTTGCGACAAGTGCGGCTTCCAGAACAATGAGATCCAGCCTGCCGGCACCTTCCAGCTCAAGGGTGTCCACGTCGAGCTTCGCCTGACCCAGATAGAGGACTTTGCCCGCCAGGTCGTCAAGTCTGATACCGCCACTGTCAAGTTCATTGAGCTGGACGTTGAGGTTCCCGCCGGCCGCGGTCAGCTTACCAACGTCGAGGGTCTCCTGACCACTATTGTCGAGGACCTCGAGGCTGGCCAGGCGGACCGCAAGGAGCAGGCCCCCGAGGTCTACGAGAAGGTTGAGGAGATCATCCAGAAGGGCCGCAAGATGCTCGCTGGCGAGGCCTTCCCCTTCCGTGTCTCCGTCGACGACCCGGCCGGCAACTCCTTCATCACCCCCGACATGCGCGACGGTGTTGGCAAGTGGGAGAAGCGCGAGTACCTCCGTACCAAGGAGCAGAACGAGGCCCTCGGTCTCACCGACACCAGCAACGAAGGCCTTACCGAGAGCGGCGACATCATCCCCGACACCGTTTACGCTTTCCCCGCCACCTGCCCCGGCTGCATGCACCCTTGCACCACCAACATGAAGATGGTCGACATCCCCCACTTCCGTCAGGTCGTCATCATGAACACCACTTGCGACGACTGCGGCTACAAGTCCAACGACGTCAAGACCGGCGGTGAGGTGCCCGAGAAGGGCAAGAAGGTCACCATCAAGGTCAGGAACTCGGTCGATCTCGCCCGCGACATTCTCAAGAGCGAGTCTTGCTTCCTCGAGTGCCCCGAGCTCAACCTTTCCGTCAACCCCGGCACCCTCGGCGGCCGCTTCACCACGGTGGAGGGTCTTCTCACCCAGGTCCGCGACGACCTCCACAACCAGATCTTCCAGACCGGCCCCGAGGACCCCGCCGCCGTCCACGCTGGCGACTCCCTCCCCGCTGAGGAGAAGGCTCGCTGGGACAAGTTCTTTGGCGACCTCAGCGCCGCCATCAAGGGCGAGCGCGAGTTCACCATTATTCTCACCGACCCCATGGCCAGCTCCTACGTCCAGAGCTTGGCTGACGACCCGGCCCAGCCCGATGAGCAGATGATTGTGGAGGAGTACGAGCGTACCGACGAGGAAGAGGAGGAGCTTGGTCTTAAGGACATGAAGACCGAGAACTACTCCGAAGACCACTAGATCAAGAAGGACCAATCAATGCTTGGTGCTCTTTCTGGGGAGAGGAAGAAATCTTAATGAATCTATACACAGCGACGAAGACGATGTCTCCTTTTTTTGGGTTTCTATGGGTTCTCAAAGAAAAACAACGGGTATGGGTTGGTTGGTTGGACCGGGAGTTTTGAAAGAGAGATGATGCATGCATGATATAGCAGCCGTCAGTCATGTTTTGTCATGAGAAGATACCACGATCGATTTTGCTTTTTTTGTTTGTTTTCTTATTTTCCTTTACATATATTAGGCGCCTCTAAATGGATACATTACCTATATTTACATAGACCCGCGCTTCTTCTGGCTAAACTGGAAACGTTCTCCCTTTCTCAGGTTCAGCTTCTCTGATTTAGTTCAGTTGGGCTTCCATCTTGGTGTGTCTCAGTTACCAAGCTCACCCAAGTACATCATGTGGTTCATAAGAGTCATATGTACGCTAGACACCGGAGGACCAAAGACCACACATAGTCAAGGTCACAGCATGCAGTAGCACAAAGCGTGGCTTAGGCAGATGTCACGGAGAAGACAAGAGTTACGGTGACATTAATGTCGGCCGAAACAGACGTCGTGAAGAGTTGCTTCTCATCTTTGTCTCGACTCTAGTTACTAGTTGCTTCTCAACACTCCTAATAAAAAGTCCGAGTGGGTGATATATTTACTTCATTGAGCGAAACCTTTGATTGTACGGTTGAGATGCTGGGGGGAGGAAACAAAAGTACAGATCGGAGCGATTGTTGTGAAGAAGTCCAAGATCATGCAATGGAATGCATTTGCTTGGCTTCCCTCGGTCTGTAATTTTGAACGGGTAAAGTAGAACTAGAGTGGGAATGTTAGTGCAGATGCTTGATAGTCCCTTTTGCAGCGCTACATAAGTAGTCATGGGGGTTAAGCGCTAACAGACACTAGCAGACTGAACATTTAGCGTCTGTCCCATCACCACGATTTGAACTCAAGAAGACGCGTGACATTTGGCTGTATCGTCAAGAGTCGTGATGGGATCGCAAATTCGCAATACATAGGGCGCACAACGACTCGACGACCAATCACACGTGTAACTAACGTCGTGGTTAGCATGAAATCCTGCGCTACACTGATGCGAGAGGTTTCCATCCAAGAGCCCGAGCGAGATGGATGAATGGGAGGCTCGGAGGCTCTCGAGATAAGGGCACCACCACCACCACCACCGTTTGGTAGATGTACCTAGACATGGTTTGAAAACTTGATGTTTCGTCGTTCCGTTGCAAAAAGCGCTTTCGTGGATTAGTTTACCTACCTTAGCTACCTAGCGTCCTCAGTCCCACTTATAGTTGGTTAGCTCAACTTCTTCTGCGACTTTTTTAGTCAGTCAATCTGAGAGACGAGGGGTGGTTCCTGTCTTGAGCTTAGGTTATAGGCTGATGAGGTATTATCAAGTCCAATTGACTGACTGACCGACATGTCAGAAAGAAAATGGAACTCGTGTTTACGTGTAACGACCCAAACCCAAACCCCCTTAAGAGATCAGCAAAGCAGCCAAGGCCATTTGAGGATGGAGGCAGGCAGTGCGGAGATTGCGTCTTTTTGCCCCAAAGAGTGAAAGGGAACTGAATAAGTATCACCTTGTTTTATTTGTCGGTGTTGTTATTGTTGTTGTGCACTCTTGACCTGTCTCGACACTACACTAGGTAGGTAGCCATCGTGATAAAAGTCCCGAAGGAGATATCAGGTAAAGGAAGCTGATTACGGTAAGTATGTGTTAAGTAGGTAATAAACAGCCGAGATCCGATACGGCACTCTTTGATGAATGTAGGAAACACAAAGCAAGAAGCTGTGTTCATTGACTCGAATGAAATGTGCACGACGATGCAGCAGCACCTACCGTTGGCGACCGGGGCAACCGTCATGCTGATGAATGTCGGTCGGGTACTCTAACAAACAACAGCGGTGATGGATGTATTCTCCTCTCCGCCGCTTTCTGATTGGCTGGTTACACCTTGTCGTCAATTAAAACAAGACTTTGAAAAGATTACCCACTTCGTCCCCCCGTCTTTTTTGGGGGGGTTTGGTTCTGCTTCAATGACCGTTCGATTGTGATCTCGTTGTTGGCAGTCGACATGGGTTGATGTTGGTCTCTCAACTTGAAGTTCAACATACAACGAACTTTGTTTCTGGACATGGAATTGGATCTTCGATTCGCCTCTCTCCTACCGCTACCTTCTTTGTTTGATCGGTTGACGGTTTCGACAAGTAAAGAACCGACGGGAGTTAACAGACCAAAGCAGACACCTATAACAGGGGGGTTAAAGATAGATAGTCTTAACAATGCTCTGGCTCAGAGGGGCAACTGGTAGTTCAAGCCCGCAACACCTTAACAAATTCGCAATCAGATCTGCTGCATTGATGTCAGACACGGTTCCCTGTCAGTTTCCCCAACCTTCTACTTAGTTACATTCTCTCTTCCCTTTTTCTTTTTCTTTTCCGACTGACTCTGTGACTTTGCGGACTTTAACTCTTCCAACACTTGCCATCTCTATCTTTCCCCACCGCTAGAGGTAACTCTTCGCCAATCATCGTCTTTTTTCCAGCATTCCTCTCGTAAAAAGAAGACAGCTCATACTCTCTGCATCCGTTAACTCCAAAAAGTCAACACTATTTGACGACGCGTTACTAAGCAACCACCAAGATACTCTGTCCGGTGTTTAACAGTCTTCTCTCCATCTCCACACACATTACTACCACTTTTGCGTACTCTCTGAGGTTGCTTCAAACCATCCCTCCCTCCCTCCCTTAAGTCCTCAATCGGGTATTGGGCAAGATAAACAAACAACACGCGACACTGCTCACAATTGCGCTTCAATACAAAGAAGTCTGCATCACCCCCAGTTGAACCTGTCAAACGATCCCAGGCTCTTTGGTGGTTAGCTCTTCCAGCTTTGACAAATCACACCTCAGTTCAAAGCCAACAAGTAACCTGGGTCTTTCAGCAACCTGTCTACATCCTGACCAACACTCTAGCTGATTGGATCCTCCCTGGTGTCCCCGGTTTTCTCTGGCTCCAGAGGTAATACCGTCCTGTGCTCGTCTTGTGTTGGTGGTTATTGTCGACAAAGGACAACGATTGCCACTTTCTTCCTTCCTAAAGTCTCTTCTTTGCAACCAGGTAATAAACAACCCTTCATCAAGTTTCATCCCTGGCCTCGAGTTTCACTTATACCTACACTATCTGTTACCGGACTCTGGCGTGACTATAGCGCCGGCTGCATCCACTTGCTCCATTTATCAGTGTCCCCCTTCTTCACCTTCTCTTGCTTTCTAATCTTTCTGTTGCCGTTCCTTCCATCCCATCTTTTTACTGGCCACCCGGCCAACCGGACCACATTCACCCAGCACTCGCCTCCCGCACAAACACCACAACCTTATAGATCTCTTGGCATCTCGGCCCTTCGCTGCCGGCCGTGTTATTTTTTCCCCCTTCACCTTAAGACTCAAGGCAACTGCGTGGAGTATTTCTCTCCACAACCAAAGCACAACTCCCGCTCTTCAACCTCTCCACCACCTTTCCTGACAACGCCTCACCTGCAGATCATGGCGGACATGGTTGACACAAGCCAGCCCGAGCAAGAGGCTGGAAAGCCCATGGCTGTTCAAGACAAGTCAGAGCCAGATGTCGTCGTAGTCGACAGTGACAGCGATGCCGAGGTTGAACCTCAAGGCACAGTTGCCCAACTTTCTCAAGCCAAATCTCCCAAAAAAGAGATTTCCAACTCCGAGGCAGAGACAGACGGCAGTGTCAGTGGCAAGGAGAGCGAAAAGTGAGTTGATGATAATTCTTCAGAACTCGAACCGAGGCGGCATTGTCTCTGCCGCTCGAGTTCTTTGCAAGATCCACCCAAAGTACCAACAAACGCTCTTCTTCTTCCCGTTCCGTCTCCCAAAGTCGACTCTTCCCCTCCAAACATTGGACTCCTTTGCGCCTTCAACCAACTACAGTCGACGGTTGGGTCTACCAACTGTCAACATATCAGCTTGGCTAACATGGATTATCTAATTAGGGCTGCTAATACTGTTCTTGCACCTTTGCAAACCTCAAGGCAAGTTCACTAAGTACACCTTACTCACATACCTTTCATTCCCTCCCCCACTTCTGCCTCAGAATTCATAGGGTCGCGTGGAGGGGTCCTACCGCACCCGGTAGCAGCAAAGACATCATATACCTTCACGTGGTTGGCCCTCAAACGGGCAAAAGTCTGCCTGTTGGCAATTACAATTACCGTTGGTTGTCAGACCCTTCCCTTGTTGATGGCAACCTAAGAGAGTCACACAATGCCTTTTTACGGCCATTTCGTGTGCGATCTCATAGGCTTCATAGTCATCAGTCCCTGCCCGCTCACATTATACACATGGACATCTCATTCATTTGTTGCCTTCATTCACTTGTATACCCTTCACGCGCATTGTCATCGTTATCGCAACACACTATTCTTCATCATGGGCAGGTCGAGGCGTTTTCGCAGTTGGTCCGTGATGTTCCCTCGGCTTCTAAAGACAAGCCCTCTTTACAACTATATTAAGCCCCTCTCGAACCAGGAACAACCTACTAACTCCTTCTATAGCGCTGACGACAATACCACAAAAGACGCCGAAATGGAACCAAATCCTTCCGACACGGCGGCAACTCACGATTACCTTGATGACGACGACAACAATGATCTCACACCCCCTCCCGAGAGCCCTACCCCGCCCCCGAGTCACTTCGAGGACACAGTCAGCCATTCCTCTGAGCCGCCTGTCGGCGCTGAGGATGAGATAGTGGTCAACAACGCACGCGCCGTCGAGTCGCCCGCACCAGCTGACCAGGAAGATGTCGAGATGGCGGACAGTGAGGAGAAGCCGCGCAGGTTGGTCGTGCTCAGCTCTAAGCGAAAGCGAGCAGGCACCGGCGAGAACGTTCGTGACGACATGTCAGAATCCCCGACGGCCGAGGAGTGGAAGCCACGCAAACCTCGTAGTGGACCCAAGAAGACGCACGGAGTCGGCAATGTCAAAAGTGTCAAGCTCGGTTACTGGAGGGATTCGATCGCGGAGGACAAGAGGGATGCTCACTCCGTCATAGGCTTCATCGACGTCCGGGACAGGTTGCGGACCAAGATCGAGACTGTGTCCAGGGACGGCCGTAGCCTCATTCATCGCTATCCGCTCCCACCTGGCCCTGGCGGTAGCTGGGTTACTTTTGATAAGATTGTTTTCGATCCTCACCTGGTCAACCTCGACCACTTCCAGGTCAAGGAGTACGTCAAGGTTCGGTACGAGCAGATGCAGAGCAACCACCCGGACGTCAACTCACAAGAGGCGATGCTCGAAGCTGTCCAGCAGGCCATAGCCAGAGTGACCGCCAACCCACCGCCCGAAACCAACGCTTTACCCGCTATCGCGTACGGCCCTGATATTCCAGAGCATGCCCTCACGAGGCCTGAGCCCAAGAGACGCAAGGTTATTAGCGCTGCACCTGTCGAGGACGTTCTTGCCGCCGTCGACTTGAGTGGTCGCCCGTCGCGAGTCGTGGTCGGCACCTGGAAACACTCGAGTGAAGCTAATCGGAAGGATCGGCACGCCGTCCAGGGTGTTTTAGCTCAGAACGAGAATTTCCGGTGCAAGATTGTCAACCAAAACCCTGACGGTAAGGAGGTCGGTGGAAACTTTCCGCTTGGCGCCGGTCAGATCTGGTGCCAGTGGGAGGATGTTGACTTCCTCGATCACCTGAAGGGCATGAGCAGGCCGCAAATCAAGGAGTACGTACGCGTCCGCCAGCGCATGATGGATATAGGCGAGCTTCCGGAGGACAGGGACAAGAACGACCAGCTGGCAGTGGAAGAGGCCCTCCGGCGTTACGCCCAGGGCTTGTCGAAGGATGAGCCCATGACCATTGACCTTGACTCTTCGCCCGCTTTGCCCATGAGAGGTACCCGTCAGCAGCAGCAGCAGGAGCGGGCCACAAACGGCAACATGAATGGTGGCTACGAAGAGATGGAGGACATCTCAAGACCCGCCAGTGTCCCGCCGCCTCAACACCACGAGAACAACTTCCGCCCCATCCGCCAGAGCACCCGCGCCCCCCGCCACTCCCTCCCGGATGTCCAGCTCCGAGCCGCTAATCGTGGCCCACAGACACAAACCGTCGTCGACCGCCTGGAACGCACCAATAGCATCGCCCAGCGCGAGATCGCCCGCGTCGAAGCCAGCCAGATGCGCGCCGACCAACGCGCCGCCAACCGCGGCTTCCACACCCCAGCCATCCAGCCGTATCCCATGCACCCTCCACCCCCCTCATCCCATTCACAACATCAACAACATCATCAGCAGCAGCAGCAGCATCTTCCCCCCTACGGCGGCGGCGGTAGACCCTCCTCACGCGCAGCTTCCGCAGTTCCCTCCCGCAACGGCACCCCTACTACCTCTTATCCCCCCGGCGGCGGCGGCCACCATCAAGGTCACCAGAAAAACCCTCAACAAGGTCCTAACGGCAGCGGCCCATACGGAGGAGGAGGAACATCAGGATCATCGGACCGCAAATCCTTGTTTGACGATAACATCCAGCGCCTGAACCGGGTCTGGGCCGCGCAGGAGGCCAACAGGATCAAGTTCTCGCAGGCGGCGGGCGAGACGGTGCCGGGCATCAATGATGCCAAGATTTATGCGGGGATCAAGTATGAGCGCAAATCGTCGGGTCCGTTTGAGGGCAAGTTGGTTAGTCAGGGGACGATTATCAATATTGATGGGGAGGATTATGTGGAGTATCGGGTTTTGACGAAGCCGAGCTTTTTCTAAATTTGGGGAGGGGGGGGGGTACCTCTGGGGGTGGGTGGGTTGGAGAGAAGGGAAAAGAGAGAGAAAGATGGGGGAGGGGAGGAAGAGGGGGGGATGGAAAGCAGGAGGGTAGGGGGGGGGAATCGAACCTCGACTTGGGAGTGTGTGAGTGAGTGAGTGATGTTGAGAATAATCAGGAGCTTCAGTTTGTTTTTCAGTGAGCTGGAGCGTGGAAGATGGGGAAAGGAAAATTCAGGGGATGGATTCGCGGAGATGGAGAAGACGAAGGAGGGTGGAAAGAGAGATTTCGTCGATGAAAAGATTCTGCTTCGGCTGGACGAGCATGGAGAGAGAGATTGGTTGGGTCAACCATGCTGTCTACCTAGGCTTTGTCGCTCAGGCAGGAAGTCGGCCGCAAACTCGTGGATATCCTCCGTGTTCACCACAACAAGAAGAAGAAGAAGAAGAAGAAGAAGCGCGATCATCTCACCAGGGCCGCGAGAGCGAGTGCAAGGCTACACCACCTATAACACCAGTGGATAGCTTTTTTTTTCCCCCTTGCGTTCGCGGATGGCTGGTTAGTCTGTCACTGCATGGAAAGAGAAAAAAGTCACTGGGTTTTTTCCGTGCGCCAAATACCACCAACAATCATCTCAATGGGTTATGGTTATGGAGGGAAAAGTTGATCCGCACCAACATAGATAGGTTAGCATGGTCAGTCAGGTAGTATTTTATCTCGTCTTCCCTTATCTTTCTATTTCATCTTCTCCTTTCTTTTTCTTTCCCCGTTATGTTCTTTTTATGTTTCTTTCATCATTAAAGGTTGCGTTCGTTTCACAATACCCGTTTCCTTTCATCATTTGAGTTGCGCTGTTTGCGTTTTCCCATTCCCTATGCCTGTTTTTTTTCCCCTCCGTTCTACTCATCATCGTCATCATTCGTCATCTAATTACTGGATCACTATTCCAGGTAGCGTTTGCATTCTTTCCATCTTCAGATCTTCAGATCAAAAAAAAGTTTGGTTCGGTCGGGTCAGGTTATGACGGTCAAGTCAGGTCAGGCGCTTATAAACATCATCGTTTTGATCGATTTTTTTTTTTTTTTTTTTTTTTTTTTTTTTTTTTTTTTTTTTTTTTGATATGCAGAAAAGTTTTGCTTTCGTTGTATGTAGTAGCTGTCTCCGTTCAGTTCAGTTTCGGGGATGGAACGCTGAAAAAAAGGGAGAAAAGGGAAGGGAACACGATGGGGGAAAAAAACGAGTGTGAGGGAAGTAGAATGAGGGAAGATAAAAGGGGGGGATGAGGTAGCTTGACAAGTGGGTAGCATTTCAAGGAGTTTGTGAAGGGGTGAAGAAGGCTCCGTTCGATATTAGATCAAAATGATGAGATTGCGCGATATGCTTCTGGAGCTTCGTGAGATTATGTATGCTTCTTAATGAACTTTCGTGTTTGTTGTGAGTCTATAAAAGGTTTGTTTCGGACAATCAGTCGGAGGCTTCGATTCTTCCGCTAATGGGGTTTTCGACATGGACCTGTCTGTCATTCTAGCTTTTCTCTAATGCTTTGCCTGCCTAATTCGGGTATAGTCCTTCTATGATACAGCACTTTGCAACAACCTCGAGGCGAGTAACTCGAACTCAACCTCAATCAATCCACCACGATCATCCTCTATTCCCCCCTAAGTTTAGTTCCCCCTACCTCGCCCTCCCCTTCCACCCCTTCCACCACCCCTTCCTCCTCCCCTCCCTCTACTTCCCCTACCATTATTGTTCCCCGATTTCTTCCCTCCTCCTCCTCCACCACCACCACCGCCCCTTCTCGGTCCTCCACTCACCCTCATGTCATAATTCCTAAACAACTCCTCTTTCGCAAACCCGCCCTGCGCAAACCTCATATAGTTGATCACCCCATGATCATTCACCGCAAGTAAAACATTTCTGTACCCATGTTTCAAGCGAGCATAAAGCCTTGCCGGGCCTCCCGCAAGCCATTCCGCCTTAGGGAGATCGGCAGGCGCGGAGGCGAGCAGACTAGAGATCTCGGAGAGGGTGGGGATGGATGTGTCCTTTGCGGAGATGACGCTGATGTAAAAGTCCGGGGGCGGGGGGCGGGTGCGAGTGAATTTCGTGGAGGCTTTGAAGATGTGGTAGTGGATTTTGTAGGGTGAGTTCGAGTCGGAATCGTAACCATCAGACTCTGGAGATTGGGGCTTCTGAGGCTGGTTGTCGGCGGTGGAAGAGGCGCTACTGCTCGTGCTCGAGGGGCGGAGAGAGAGGTAGTTGTAGATGGTGTTGTAAGAGCGGTAGAAGCCCGGCGGGACGAGAGGGCCGTAAGGCGGGGGATCGGTGGGGGAAGATTTCGATTGGGGTAGGCAGGAGATGAGCCATTCTGTGACAGATTTGGGCTTGGATGCTGGTTGTGTTGTTGTCGTAAGTTGAGTGTCGTCCTGGACAGGAAGAGGGTTGGTCGGTGCCCGGATGACGTTGTAGCCTGCTCGCTTCAGGTGGCTGAAGACTTGGAATTTTTGCAAGCTAACTTTGCCTCTTTCTCCGTCTTCGCCGATGAGCAGAGCGTAGGCTGCTTGGAGGGACAATGGCAAGCCGTATTTGTACTCGTCATCCTCGTCCTCCTCCTCGTCCTCCTCGGTTTGTTCTCCTTCTCCCTTGGCAGAAGTAGTAGCAGCCGCAGTCGGCACCGATCCATCAGCAGGAAAAACCTCCTCGATCCCTCTCGTGGGCCACCACAGATCCAAACTCCCTCTCTCCACCAGATACAGCGCCTCCTCAGGTAACAACCACTCCCTTCCCCTCGCCGGCCTATCCTTGGGCAAGCCCGTGACCGCCCTGCCGAGACTCTGGCTAGCCACATTAGTATGTTCCAAAAGGACCACGCGATCTCGCACATGCAGCGGTGGTAGTTTCCTGTCCTTTTCCTCCTCATCCTCCTCCCCCCTCCCTCTTTTCCCCTCTTTGACTTCTGCTGCTCCCAATCCTCCGGCCAGTCCTTCCACCAGTCAGGAAAATACCAGCCCCTGCACCACCCCGAGGCCGACTTGGTATTATGCACGCGGGTATAACTCAGAACATCGCGCATAGCGTCGCGACTGGCGTCGAGCGCGGATGCTTGCGCGCGCGTGCCGTGCGACTCAAAGTCCTTTTCGCCCTTGCGGATGGTTTGCGCGCTAATGTTTTTGGTCTTGGAGTAGGTGGAGGCAAAAAGGCGGAAGTCGGCAGTGGGCGCGTCTTCGGCTTCTTCGACTTCGTCCATCATGGTGGCAGCATCTCCGGTCGCGTTGTTGGTGGTGGTGGTGGAGGGAGGAGGGACGAGGGAGGGGTTATCTTCTAGGTCGTCGTCTAGAGGCATCTTGGCTGTGGTTTTGTGTATAGTTTATTGGTTGGTGATGGTGCTCTGCTGGGTAAGGTTGTCAACTTAAATTTTTTCTAATTTTTTCTTTTCAGGCTGGTGAAAATGTGTCAGTCGTATGTGTTGTCAAAGTGAGGAAGTTTTGAATGAGAAAGGCACAAGTGAAGAAGTTCTGCATAAGTCGAAAAATAAAGTGGATCCGTTAGTTGACTTGTGAAACTTAGCTACTCCATAGCTGCCTGCCACGTACTCCACGTCGTAGTGTACATAAAGAGCTAAGCGCAGCTTAACCTTCCAACAAGCTCACTAGGCAAGGTGGCCGAGTGGTTAAGGCGTTGTGTTTAGGTTATCTAATGATTAACTTGAAACCGCAATGGGAAACCTCGCGAGTTCGAATCTCGTCCTTGTCAACGCAAATATTTTTTTTGCTGGTCTTTCCTTGCATTGTCTATGGTATTTCTCGCTGGTCACTGTACCTCCTTTTTGTCAAACGTATGTTCGTGGATCCACCGCAAAGCCTCAATGATGTCATATTCAAGGAAGGGTCTGTGTCTGTTTCATCAACTCTCTTCATTCCGCTACCTGAACGCCTTCCAACACCATACGCCCATGAAGTTATCTGATGTGACTGGCTGGCTTGCCATTGCTTGCCTCTGAAACTAATAAGCGTAGACATCCGCCAGACGTCTCATTGACAGCCTCCATGATTATCAAAAGACTCGTATATCCCTTTGACAACAATGCCACCGTTGTGTTCCCACCCACTTTATAAGAAGTAGAAAATTGTCACCCTAGTCATTGTGTTCTTTGTCCCTTTATTGACCTGCCGTTCTAGCCCCGGTATATCCTCCGATTAAGTCATCATAACAGAAAACCCCAAGAACCTCCGCAACATGTTACCGAGCAACGCCCCGAAAGCACCCGCCTGAGTTGCCCCTTCCAACATACGTAACAGTTGTGTGAATATAAACAAACCCACAAGTATGCCGAATCTGATACCAGCCTGTCGGTGGAAGATGTCCCAAATGAGAACCTTCATTGTTCGTCGCGGCTCAACAATAGCAGTGCTCTTCATGGCACTCCGTAGTCTCCCGAGGTGCCGCTCGAAGAGTCGCCGCGGACCGTGGAGTACTTCCATCACGTATTTATTTGATCGTACCCTGTGCTAGTGGGCTATCGACCCTAGTCAAGGTCACGGCCGTACAGCATGATGAATGTGTGTGAAAGCACTCTTTTCAACGCCACGTTGGCTGTTCGACCCCAAATTTCCCGGTGTTTGTCGGGCGGCCTCCTCTCTTCTCGATGGACAGGGTGTTCTACTCTGACCCTAGATTCCGTGGACGGCGTTATCGCACCGACAACATGCCAGTTGCCGGTCATCGGGTTCCATTCACTCGATCAGCATCTTCTTCACTCCTCCCACCTCGCAAAGCCCGAGATGCCGTATTGCATCTCGCTCGTTGGATCGGACAATGACTCGGTCCGGGAGCATCGGATTGTTTGGGTCGACCTTGGATGCATCCTTTGCTGCTTGCTCAATCGCGTCCATTTCATCCCTACACGCTTGCTGGTCCATTGGGCAGATAACGATCGGTTGTCGTAGAGTAATGTCCCTTGCAGAGTTCATGTGTGCCTGTGGAAGTATAAGTGACCGATCTGTCTGGTGTTTAAGGAATTGCTCAACTCACTTTTATACTCAAAAAGAACTCAATCTTGTACAATGTTGATGACGTCGTAAAGCTCGTAACTTCGTACATGGGAAACCCGGGTTTTCCGCGCTTGACAATGCCGTCGGGGTCTCGTAGATCTCGCGCCGGAAAGACAAGCCCCAAGTTCGTGACATAGCCGGTCTCGGTCAACTTGACCCCTACTGGTTGTGTGTGCTTTGCAATCTTGTTGATTTTCTTGGTTGGCTCGTCGCCCTCGGGGTTGAATGTGATTTCCTCCTCGATGGCCAACGTTATCTTATTTATCGTAACCTTTTTTGCCTTGTTCATCATGTCCGGATTTGGGGCCAGCTTGATAAAGACTGTTATTGGATCTAATGGCCCATAGCTCCATTTTGGTAGTGAGATGCCCAAGGTCACGATGCTATCCGCCGTGACAACCTTGCTTTCGGGCCGGTTGTACATTCCAAAAGTCGAAAGGGTATCGTATCGCTGTATTGGTATGGGGAAGGTGTATCTGTTTTGTGTGCTTTGGCCTTGTTGGACAGTAACCACGAGCTCGTAGTATGTTTCGGCGATTCGGCTGGGCAGTTGCAAGCTCGCAGGCGGAATTCGACGATTTATTTCTTCTCCTCCCCGGCCATAGGGTATAAATATCTGGAACGGCAGGTCCATTGCTATTACGCTCTCCGCCTCTTTCCCCGATACACACCGGAATAGCAGCACCTCTTTGCCCACCAGGTCCACGGTTTCGCGTCGCGGTGTGCCGAGATGTCGTTTCGCCATGCTCTCGGCAGCAGGGTGTATGGTTTCTCGTCGCTGGAGGCAGATGCGCACCATGGATACGCTGACGGGTGCGGAAAAGCCGGCGCTTGGTCGGATCTCGACTTTCCCTACTATTCTTGGCTATGAGAGCGCAAGTTAGCATCGGCGACGTCCGCGCAAACGAGAAGAAAACTCACCAACGTGGCAGAGATACCGGGGTAGCCCACCAGAAAGCTGCTGTTGGGTGGTCCCGATATCCTCACCGTGGCCGGAGCATATTGGGCAACTAATGCATTCATGGTGCCGTTAGCGCCGGGTGCGAAGTTGTTCGAAATAGGTTCGTCGTGTTGACAGTGAGGATATGGTCGAAGATGACGAGCGGATCATGAACGTGTTGTAGAGACCGGCTTCGCCGTGCCACAACTGGGCAGTCGACGGAGTCGTGAATGAGGGGCTTGGTGCGTAGCGCTTGGAACGAAGGTCACACTTCTGGCCCCTGGCGATCGCGAATGTTTGTATCGATAAGGCTGGGGTTCACTTGCAGGGTTACTGCATCCCATCCGGGGTTATCGAAGGCAAATGCAAGGCCGCAATTGATGCGCGTTGTCGCTGTGGTGCAGCTGTGCGTAGGCAGTTTCGTCGCTTATGCTTTGGCAAGGGGAAAGAGGCGTCGTGAAATTGGTGAGACGGACAGAACAGACTAGTTGGACAAGTATCGTGGGCTTAACATTCCTCGACTAGTGAGCGGAAGGTGAAGGCTACACTCAACAACTGTTTGTTGACCGCAAGCCTAGGTAGGTAGACTAAAGAAACCTAGTTCGACTAGATGGCCAAGCGGTACGCTCGCACAACCGCCGTCGTTGGCGCAGCGTTTGCTCACGTTAGGGCGCGGGAAAGCCCTCTGCTGTCCGTGGGGGCCGAAGAGAAGTGGTCGTCGTCCAAGTTGAGGGCAAATGTGAGGGCCCTATGACGGGATCGATATAGTCAGTCAGCTTCGAAGACGGGTCGCCTTGTCCGTCAACAGTGTATGGGGGGGCCAATCGCGGCAGGAGGTCGTATTAGCTAGGTAGGTATCGGAACGGCAAAACACCACGTCAGATGATGGACGCTGTCGATTGATAAGTGAATTCCCGGGCTGGAGGGTTGCCCGTAGGAGGGAGGGGAAAAGGATAGGTGTGACAAGATGCGAGCGCCAAGGACAGTCGCGGCTAGAAGAAAAGAGCTTTGCGAATGACTGACAAGCTCAATTCTCAACTTTTCGGTCAGGGTACGACGTCAAGAGCCGTTAGCCGGATATGACCAGGACCAAGTGTGGATCTGAAGAGAGAGTAGTGTAGGTAGAGGGAGGAAAGCTGAAGGAAGAAAGTGCCTGGTCCTCGGAACGTCACCGAGGATTATCCCCAACCTCAAGGGCCCCCTTCCTTGGGCGGTGGGGAACGCGGATGGCGGTCACTAACCGAACATGTGCAAGGCTGCACTGTTACAGCGTTAGCATCCTTCAGCTTTCTTTCCTTGGTGACCAGGGGAACAGTCAAAGTGGAGAAGTGGAAGTTGAGGTGAGCTCCGACTGACATGATGAGCGTCCATCTGAACTTTTTCGATTCTCTTCAAGATCAAGATAGCACTCGATTACCCCATCTCGGTTCTTCAACCCGGATTCTCACATGTCCAACCTTGGAACTTGTTACTCATTCATTGCCAGACTTCCACTCTAAAACTTGACCACAGTACCTAGTATAATCCCCATCAATCCGGGAAATTCAACCATGATGATGATCAGACCATCAGTTCGGTGCCTGGCCATGACGTCCTTGATCCCTTTGCGCATCCAGACCAGTATTTCCGCTTGAGTAGTGAGACAATGGGCCATGATAGACTGAAACAAGTGCAGGGAGAGTTGGTCAGATTGTTTATGCCTCTTTCAGCAGGCAGCGGCATGGCAAGCAAGGGCCAAGGGGCCAGGCGGCCGATAGGGCTGGCTGGTATGGTCAAAGCTTCCAGCTGCTGCATGCAAAGCCCAGGGAAATCAGATCAATCAGATCCCGCCCAGGTCCAGCCCCCCACCGCCCAACCACAAGCGCTTGGCGTCGGCAGGCTTCCACTTGTGGTGCAGTGCCGCAGGCAATTCTGTTCCGCAGTAGGTAGCAACTGCACGTCACACAACAATTAACCAAACATCACACACGGGAACCTCAAATCGCTACTGATCAAAGAGAAAAAGATCTACACCCAGCCAACATGTCTGTCACACTCCACACAACACTCGGCCATCTCAAAATCGAAATCTTTTGCGAAAGCGTCCCCAAAACAGCAGAAGTACGTCCCTTTCCCTTTCCCTCTCCACTCACGCGCAAAGGCACTCACAAGCTAACCCTCTCCTCTCCAATTCGCAGAACTTCCTAGCCCTCTGCGCCTCCGGCTACTACAACGCTTCCCCCTTCCACCGTATGATCCCTTCCTTCATGGTGCAAACCGGGGCACCCGCCAACCCTTCCCCGCCCGAGAACCCCAAGGGCGGCCGGTCCATTTACGGCCCGACCTTCGAAGACGAGATCCGGCCAGTGCTGC